TTCACTATTTTGAATTTTTAAATTTTTACCTTAATTTGAATAAAGCTTTATCAAATTATCCTACAGGCCAAACTTCATAAAATTCAGCAAACAATTTATGAAATAAAAGAGTGACTCCAAAACGGAGTCGTCAGTCCACAAAGAGTTAATTACTTAAAACTATTTTAAAATATACTATAGATAGTGAATCGAAAATTTATTAAGATGTGTACACACGGAAAAAAACGGCTACGGTTGTCACGATCAAAAGTCGCCTATCAATATATTTTTTGGTTATAAGAACTGTACGATTGTGATAACTGTAAGATTGGCATATCTTGACGGTTATAGTTGTAAAGAAGAATACATCTATCTTACGATTATCACAATCAGATGTATCGATGGAATATCATTAACTTAATATCATTATTTCTGGTTGTGACAACCGTAACATTTTCTTCTGCGAAATTTATTTTCTATTTATTAAATAAATAAAATAAGAGATAAATAAGGATTGATACTGTGTGGTATAAATTGATATGCATTCGGAACAGATACGTCGGCCATTCAAGAAGAATGCATGGTAGATCCGGACATTACGAGGCCAAAACCAGTTTCCAATAGAAACGGAATCACTATCAACGGAGTGCGATAGCTCGTAATTTTATTGCCGCGGCTTTATCTTTCTCGATGTCGAGAATCGCATGCAGAAAACTGCCGATCTTTCGTGCACCGCCATTCTCGAGACGTATACAGAAAACACCGACGGATTTATCATTATTTATATAACTACCTGCTAAAAGCGCTATAATTTACGTAAATAATTGATACAGAAAATAGGAGGAAAGATGTGTGGAAAGGCTTACACACCGACGAGATTTTTTTCTCTGAGGATCAACTGTTTTGTATGATTCTGTATATACGTATGTATATACAGAATATGTACAGTATATGTACTGTATGTTATATGATTTCTGTATATATTCTGTATCAATCATTTAAGTTTATTACAGGCTGTATCGTAGGCTGTAAGTAACACGTTGTAGCGTAAGTTTACAATTGTGCAAATAAAGAAATTAATGTTCTGGTTATAAGTTCACACTTTGAGTACGTTCCGAGTTACGCATGAAGAGCATGGTGTATTGTTTTGTCGTTCTTATTACTTGGTTACTACAACAAGGACAAATGATGCATTATACGCTTTATGTATAACTCGGAACACACCCTTTGTCACATTATCCCGCTTAATTTTCCCTTCTAGTTTAGTTTTCTAAAATTACTCTATTTGCTAACGTTAATCTTTAGAAATTGGATGGATCTATAAAATTCTCCAAAGAATCGGGCATATCAATACATAACTTTAGTCTAATCAGTTTTAACTTGTTCATTTTAAGGAAACGGATGCATGCATCTCTATACATTTGTCCGTATATTGTTTTATTAAATCTATGCATACATGTGTATTCAGATATGTACATAATATATACTAATAAAATTATCATACATCCATTACCCTAATAAAAATGTTAATTCATCACTCACCGACCCGATGCGCAACAGTGGAGTTACATCTGCAATATGGATACGATGATTCTATAACAAATAAATTAAAATCAAATTAAAACAGAATAAAGAAATAACTTATATATAATCATTACTTTAAAAAATAATTGCTATATGAACGCATGCAGTTTGCTAAAAAATAATCATATAATTTTGAAAATATAATTTTTGTAAGCATTGAATTTTTTTAAATTTATTTAATTAGATATAAAACAATTATATATTATCTAAAATATTATACACTTTTTCTCAAATAATTATGTATTCTCTAAAGATCTTAGCAAAAATAAATTTGTATAAAATTTTTAAGTATTATTTAAATTACTTAAAAATTTTACAAATTTATTTTTTCTAAGATTTTTTTAGAGAATATATACAAATAAAATTTAAATTAAGTGATAACATAAAACAAAAATAAGAAAGAGCATACAACCACATACGCAAATTATTATTCGCACAAGTCATATTTAAAATATAATTACATGTAAACGTTTCGGTCAAATCGGACCATCGTCAGTAAATTAAGAATTTATTCTTGATATTTATAACTTATATGTTAAAACACTGTCACTGTGATTACACGAAATTTCGTACAGAAGTATACAGTCTTACTATCTTATATAATATTTGTCCATCTCTCTACGCTAATATTCTTCCAATAAATTAGCGTCGCATTATTGTATTATATTGATAGTTGTGAAAACACGGAATCTGGTAATTCCGTATTTTAACATACAAGTTATCAAGAACAAATTCTTAATTTCACTGTAAAAGAGATTACGAAGGCAGGATTAATTTTTGGAATTTTGTACTGCGACATCCTAATGTGCTAAATTATATTTTTTAACATTTGCATTCTCTTGATTATGCTAATGATAGTCACAACTTTACCGA